TATATATATATATATATATATATATATATATCAATATTCAAGAACCCTTATTTGTGAAAATAATAATATCCGGCAACCGGAGGATAAGGTGCTCATGAAGGTTATGACTGCCTAATTTTGGGACAGATTTAAGCAATGTATTCAGCTTTGAGATACAGCCGCCTTTATTTCTTCGTAAACTTTTATTTGAAGCTGAATAGGTTTCAAGCCACCATCGGGCATTGAACCACAGTCCTGAACAGAAATAGCTTAGCCATTGTGCCAGCGTAGATCTGAGATATAATTACTTAAAGTATCTCAGTGAAAGCAATGAACTGCTCTTTAAAGCATTGAGTTTCGATTCCCGGTGGAGACTTGAAGCCCTCCCAGCTTCTGCACGATACTACCTATACTACGGCACTATCGTGTTTAGGATGCAAAGGCGGTAGGTGCGCAATACTTGCCCGCTGTAATCATCATGCCTTAAATGTGGACGTTTGGAACCTACATTTCAAAAAAAAAACCCTGAGCCATAAGAGGTTTTTTCGGGAATGTTTCATTTATCTCAATAAAAGTTGTATTGTTTCAAGAGAATATTTTAAGCGAAACATACCAAGGTTTTAGGTGAATAACTTTCAGCTTTAATGATAATTTTATGATAAATTGTTATTGATTTCACTGGGGGACACATTTTTTGTTCTATTTAAATATATACTTGATCTTGCCTAATTCGGATAGGGGGTTTAAATATATAAGTTTAAAAAAAGTTATATTTAATAGAAGGTTGAGTAAATGTTTCTATAAATTTCTGAGGAAATTATGGTACCTTATCAGGATTAAAATTGAATAAGGACCCATTCTCGGAATTACCGGCGCACGCTGTTAGATGCTCTCCCCTATTAACCTGTTCAAAAGTTCACGAATAAAGAATTCATAACAAGAAAGCATCTCTAGCGGTGTATGATGACATTCTTGGGCATGGGTGAATAAGCAATTTTAGTTATAACACCCATAGATGTTTTTTACCAACATTTACGCATCCCTTTATTTTATAAAACGCTTTTAAACTTATACATTTCGTAAAGAATAGACTAAAAATGTCATAAAAAGTAGAAAAAAAAAACTTTAACTTAGAGAGAGAAACTAATTGCAGATTTGAAATCAGCAACGTGAATATATCTAATATCTGTTACACTGTTAGAAATTTCTCGGAAACAATAGTTAAATAATAATTTATTGAATGGTTATTTTACCATATTTAATCAAAACAGTCAAATAACCATAGATAAAATAGTTAGCAAACTGTTGAGTTTGAGAAAAACTGTTTATTAACTGCTTTCACCTAACACAGTTAAACAACCAGAATTTTATCGCACTAACTAGAACCACCTAATGAAGCTACTGTGTATACATCATAGCCGAGCGGGCTTATATGTTAATCTCATGAGTGGCTGAACTGGAGTTCGAGCCCTAGTGTTGACACCACAATGTTTCCTCCGTTCCCTATAAAACGTGAAGAACTTATAGTGTCCGGCACTCTCCAATGCCCATTGCTTTGCGAAAAGCCGGGCTAGTATGTCCAGTTAAATAATTATATATTTTTTCCGTTTTTGAAAAATGCTAATTGTAGATGGCTAAAAAATTGTATAGTTTTGTATTCATGGTTTTATAACCATACTTTTGGTAACCATAAAGGAAACAAATGTTAACCATAACCATAAGGAAAAAAATGTTCTTTGCCGTAAACTTTACGGTTAACCGGATGGACAGAGAGCTGCCAGCTATAGAATGGAATATAATTTTAGAATGAAAGTTTTGACAGTGTATAAAATCTTATGCAGCAGAAAACAACAAAAAAATGCTTTTTCTAGTGCTATCGCTAATAACTTGTACCAGTTAGTTTTAGTTTATTAAAAAAAATCTGAAATCAATAATAAAATGCAATTCTGTTTTCAACTGAAAACAGAATGTCTCATTCCTAGTAAGATCCTCAACCTAATGATTCATGTACAGATTAGACAGCTTTTAATGCATTCAGAAAAGCATAAAATATGTATAAAGTGACATGGAATGCGCCTCATTAGTCGCCAACATACTCAAGACCTATGAAGCTTATTTCAGAGTTTTAATAACTTATTTATTACAGCAGACATATTAATCTTTTCACACGATTTTAAATAATAAATGATACTTTATGACTAGAAACGGAATTTCAACGAAGCAGAGTTTGCAATACTGAGTTTAGAATCAATCAAATATTCTATTTCTCTACTTTTGGAATCAATCATATATGCTATACATTTTCTATTGTTACTTTCTTGAAAATAACGAATTAGTAAATGAAATATAATTATATGGGTGCTTATTACTTACCTTAATTTATTGTATTATGTATTTTATAAACAATTGCAAAGGAAAAGGATATTGTTCTTAAACTCATATTTATAGTTTATTATCCATATGATTTTTTATTTACTTCCTTAAATTTACTATGCATTATCTCTATTATAAATTTACATCTATCCACTTTTTTTATATTTCATTTTCAGAAATAATCACAAATAATCAAAAGAGATAA